TCCCCCCAATCAAATATTTAAAGTGATGTTCTGGATGGGGCTACCTAAGGACAGTGGGAGAACAAACCAGTAAGGCAGAGCTCAAGGTAGCATGTCTTGGAGGTTGTCTGGCACACCCTGGGGCTTTCAGGCAGGTCAGGAGGAGCTGGAGGCAGGCCAGCTACAGGAAGTCATTATGGTGTTCCCAAGGCACAGGGACAGGCACAGAAGTCTGGGGGGGATCTTGCCTATGGTGCCTGGAGGCAGGAGACAGAGGTGGGGTTAGAGGATGCTCGCAGGCCTCCCTGAGAGCCACTGTGATTCCCAGACCTTCCTCATCCCTGCTGGTCTGTTCTCTGCCCTGAATCACCATCCCCAAGATTCCTGTCCCAAGAAAGCTCTATCTGCGCTCTACTCAACAGTGAGATAAAAGAACAATTCACAGTCAGGGCATACAGGATGCCTAGTCCCTCTACCCCAGTCCTTCTGTAGTCACTGAGTCTCAACTGAAACGAACAGGTCCTAGACAAGATAAGAGATTCATAAATGGTATTTCTGAGAAAGCATGGCTCTTTGGCAAACCCTTGATTTTGATCTTTGGGGACAAGTCATTGTCCCAGCTATGCTCAGTTTAAATTCCAGTAAAGACTGAGCAGTGGCTACGGAATTCATTTGAAAGGTTCCAATACTTACAAATACTATGTGCATGTGGGGTGGGGTATGTGCACATGTGTGTGGGTACCTGCAGAGGCCTGAGGAATCTAATCGCCCTGGGGCTGGAGTCACAGTTGTGAGCTGCCTGATTTAGAAGCTGGGAACCAATCTTAAGTCCTCTGTAAGAGCACTGTGCGTTCTTAACTACTGAGACATCTTTTAATCTTTTCCTATGCATTTTGTTTTGGTTTTTTGTTCTATTTTAACTAGAACAGTGTGGAGAATGGATAGCACACAGTAAAGGCGAGAGCTTCTTGGCAAACTCTGCTTTGCATGTGTTAGACAACACAGGTGTCATGGATGTTATTGTATATACTCCAACTGTGCCTAATGCAAAATGTATTTCTTATTCTTCTTATGGCAGGCAAAAAAAAAAAAAAAAAAGAAAGAAAGAAAGAACACTTTTCTGTAGTACTCTAAAACTCATTTGCAATTTGTCTCAAACTTTAAATACATATTATTATAACTTTTCCTGAAGCTATACAGATCTGTTCCTTTCTACAAATCACAAATTAGTTCTGCAATTTCAGACAGCGAAGTTACTTTTGAAAGCAAACGATACATACAAGGTTAGAAAGGATGTGTAGGCTACCTTAGGATGCAGGATAAAACCCTTCATTTCAAAACCCAGGCACAGTAGTGCATGCCTGTAATTCTACCACTTGGGAGGCTGAGGCAGGAGGACTGTGAGTTTAATACCAGCCTGTGCTGCACAGCAAACCCTGTTTCAAAAAACAAACAGGAATGGAGAGATGGCTCAGTGAATAAGAGTGCTTGCTGCTCGAGCATGAGTTGCCATGGCAGCATTATGTACGACTGTTATCCTTATAGTATGAGAGCCTGAGTTCCCATGGCAGCACTCACATATGACAGTTATCCTAGTACTGTGCATGCGTTCATGAACATGTGTAGAAGATCACTGGGGTTTACTGGCACAGGCTTGAACACTACCCCCACCCCAACTTGGTAACTAGTGGGTTTGGCAGAGAACTGCAGCAAGGTCACTGTTAGAGGACATACCTGGGGAAGGGATCCTGGAAAAACACCTGGCACATAGGGAGTGCCATTTACTCTGACAGTTTTACCAAGAGGGAGGGAAAAGCCGAATAAAAGAAACCACAAACCAGGAAACAAACAGAGAAGACTGATTTTAGAAAGTGCAGAGCCTGACACTAGCAACATGGTAAACCCACACAGCACAGTTCCTAACATTATCCTGGTAGTGGTGTGTTCCGGTGGTGTCCCAGTGGAAGCAGACCCTGGGAACTTAGGATCCTAGTGAATGGATTTGTTCCCAGAAACACAAGGCCACATGTGATGGTGAAATTCCAAGAACAGACAGTCACAGATACAAAAAGCAATTGGTAGTTGTTAGGGGGCAGATGAAAGGGGGCCTGGGGCCACACGGTTCCTTCTGGGGTGGTAACTGGGAACACGGAAAATGAAGCGGTAATTGCACCAAACTTCAGAGTAGATGACTGCTATGTTCTGAGGGTTTCATCTCAGTGGAAGAAATAATATAAGGAGGGAAATAAGATGTAGGGAACAAACAAACCAAAAGACACAGCCAGACTGACAGAAGGAGTTCCTAGGGAGAAAAGTGACATGGGCCCCAAAAGAGGAGAGTAAAAACCCAGGTTGTTAGAAACCCAGGTTTCTGGAATCCCCATTATTTTGGGGTCCTTTTGCTTAGAGCCCAGGTAAGCTCTAGTCTGACAGGAACAAAAGAAAAATGAGTAAGGAGGAGGGAGGGGAGGAAAGAGAATGGGAAGAGACAAATCTTGGGCTCTGAAAAGAGCAAGTCCATATGACAGACCCAACCAAGAGCAGCTAGGGCAGGTACTTCATCCAGAGTAGCAGTTTCTAGTTAAAGGGACATGCCACATTGAGGAAGGCCAACTGACTTGGGATAACATGGGGAAAGAAGTCAGAGAAGGCACACACACACAGGCTGGGTGAGAGATGGATGTATAAAAGGGATGTTAGAGAGAAGTGGGGAGGGGGGCTGGCTTGTCTTGTACAGGGACCCCTCACTTCTTGCCTGATGAACCAGGCTTGGCCTAAAATCCCAATGCACTTTGCCACAGTTACCATCAGCTATTCTCTTATAGTTTTGGTTGTGAGCCTAGCCTTTAACAGCTGAGCCAACTCTCCAGCCCCATCAGCTTTCTCAAACTTTTTTTCAGCTGTTCACAAACTTTTTTTTAAACTTCCCTCTCTCTCATAAAATTCATAAGCATCACCCTTTACCCTTCAACACCCCCTTCTTTAATAAATACAAGTCATTGGACCTAAACTACCTGTGCCAGGGTAAACTGCTTAATGAACTCACCGGTTACTCAACAACAGACCTTGGCAGGGTATTGAGACAGATACAAAGTGACAATACAGGAAATAACAAGATGCCATAGAAAAATGGAGACAGGTGGGGAGGACTGCAGAGAGCCTTGAGGGTACTGCCCCAAGGGGAGACACGGGATGGGGAGACATTGTTGGATGTGCTAGTGTTTCAGGACACAGACAATGTACAATTGCTGGCATGCGGTGGTAATGAGAAGCAGACTTATTTTGGGTTGATTTTATTTGTGAGTTCACTTATTGGATGCTCCTAACATGGGTGGACCACTTCTATAACCAGTCCCTGATGGCAGGTCACTCGGTCTCCTGGAGCCTCAGTTTTAGAATCAGCAAAGGAGGATAAACCCTCTTCTTATCAGGGAGCTTGTTTGAGAGGGTGGGAAGTAAAGGTTTGGGTGGGAATTCTCCCTGGCCCAGAGCTGAACATAAAATACTTCATTTAATACCTATTTCCCTTTTCCTCCCTTCTTTTTCCCTATCAAGTGCTTCCAGAACCCAGTGAGGATGTTAGCCAACTCTTGTTTAGTAAGTAGTCTCTGTTTCTGCTGGGGCTCTTCTATCGTCCCATGAGAAAAAAGCTGGTAGAAGCCTCTGACTTCACTCCCTATAGGCACCCCCAATCCTCTATGCGGACTACCCTAAGGAAGGACTGATCTGCCTGGGGTAGCTGAACACTCCAATGCCCTGCATTGCCCAAGTTTTAAAGTGTGTATTTTCCAAGGCCTGTCCCGAAATAAAACTGAGGAAGCAACATCAAGTTATGTGAAATGGAATCTCTGCGTACACTTTCCACTCCTCTTCTCCACAGCTCATTAAGGATGGCTACCCACAGGCCCGCAGGCAGGCCGGCTGGCTAGTTGCAGCTAAACTTGGGGCCCTGTCTGGGGCTCTGAGTTTTCCCATTAGCATCACTGGGCCCACACCGAGAAAGGGTAGAGAACAGGAAACACCCTACTCTTTGTCACCTCTTAATCCTGGCGTTTGGGAGCATGGGAATGCACATTCTTTCAGCGATAACAAAAACCCGAACAAAACCCACTAGATTTTCTTCAGCATGAAAGACTAGAGGTTTCGCCTAGAGGTTTCTACCTTATTAACCCTACTAAGAAATTCAAAACTAGTTCCCTCCTTTCTAATCAGGAACTTTACGGGCAACACCTCTCTACTTTGGAGAAAGGAGAGAAAATATTTGATGAAATAAACTGGCCAAATTAGTTTACTTGGTCAAATAGGCAGATGCTTAAAAATACAGTGGATAACGAATGCACTGGGGGCAGGCAACCTCTTTGCAGCAGATGAGAAATTCCATTGAGGAAAAACCGAGACAAGATGAGCTTGATTCTGAGGAGGGGTCCCTTTCCTCGACCCAGATGAACAAGTTTCAGATAACAAAGACCCCCCCACCCCCGGCTCCCGCAACCAGAAACCTCCGTCACCTCCCGGGTAACTAGGCCGAGCTGGGGGCTGCCAGTCTTCATTGTCCGTTAAGTGTGCCTATGGATATTTCTTTCACCTTTCCTTCCTTGTGAATCAAGCGAGAAAAAGAGAGTTCCAACAAAGCAAAACTTAAGCGGGGGTGGTTCCACTTCACATCCAAAGCACCGGACCCTTTCTTTCTGAAGGTGGTCTTGCGAAAGAGGCCACACAATGACAACAAATGCGACGGCGGAGACTGCTCCGGAGACTCGGGCCCCTCCTCCCGAGCCAAAATCGAGTGGGCTGCACCCCCCAAAACCGAGTCCAAAGAAGCATCGACTGTGCGGGGACAGATAGGGGATGGTGGCACGCCCCACCTGGATGTGACTAGGGGAGGCTCTAGATTTCGGCTCAAATGTCTGTTTGGCTCCTAAGGGAAACTGAGGTAGGGTTGCAGCCAGGCGTACACCCTCGCAGAGCGGTCGCAAACTGTCTTCTGATAGTCCCCTGAACGCACCGGGGGCAGCTCTTACCTGGCTGGCGCACGGGGACACGGGAAGACAGCAAGGGAC